TGGGTTTTTTTTCTGTAATTCAAATGCAAGGAACAAATTTTATATGTATGTGTATATTTTTATGAAATTAGCATTCCATTTTTGGTTCACTAAAACCCATTTCATAACATAATAATGCTAACTATTAAAGAACTTCAGTCTCATTACATTCCTTTTGATCTGAGTGGTACTTCATCTGATTTTTTTTTTTAAATTCTATATAAACCTTTAGATTTTCTGCTATTAAGTACCTAATGTCACTAGAACTACTGTAGATTTTAAGGTAGGAAATAAACCTCCTGCATACTTAATGTCTGTGTGTTTTCCCTTCATCTGCTCTTCTAAAGCCTTGCTGAATTTTGCCAACAGGTTACTTAAAGCAGCATTTGCGCCATAGAGCTAATGAGACACATGTCGTTGCTAGGAACTTGATGTATGGCTGAAAACTGACTTGTATGCAACTGAAGCATCCCCTCAGTTCACAGAGCTGCTCCTTGTGCAGAAGCAGGGCTTCATCTGCTTAAATAAGCAACAAATAAGTTTTTACTCCTGTTATCCTTGTAGAGCTAATGAATCCTGCTCTTTCTCTTTTAGATCGACATGGGCAATAACAGAACTTCTTACTTAAATCTTCTTACTTATTACTTAAATCCCAGGATAAACTTCCAGTGCTGGCAGTTACAAAATCATCTATACTAAAAAACTGAACCCACTTGTTATAGATGTTAGTTCAATACAGTAAAATAGAACCTCATGCTGTCAGTAAGTCACTTTCTAAAAAGAATTGTTCCTTTACATTTCTTACTATTAAATATATGCCTTTTCTTAACTTTCTGGGGCAGTGATGTAGAAGAAATGTTAACATGTAAGTGGCTCTACTTAGGCTGGAAAGTTATCTCAGTGAGAGAGTTGGAGTGACTTATGGGACTTTTCCTGGATCACAGGGTGATGTCCTAGGGTTAAAAGGTCTTGGAATGTTCTGTAACAGTCTTATGACAGTGTTGGGGTTCCTATTGCTGCCTCATCTGGCAAAGATGACTCTCTCAGTGGGGAAAGGGATTGCCAGGTTCCTCTGGTGCCACTTCGGCCTGTTCTGAGACTGCTACCTGCTTCTAGGTCTGACTAAAACTGCAAACAGTGAGTGAGATTTAGGCTGAAAAAGTAAGAAGGTTGCTAATCAGAAGAGGAGTGAGGTTTTTGGAACAGCCATTCAATAGAAGTAGCAGGGCAAAATAACGTCACTAGTTTTAAGGTTTAGCTTAATAAATTTATAAATGGGATTATATGATAGGGCTGCCTATAACAGCAGGGGACTGGACTCTGACCCAGGATGTCCCTTCAAGCCCTATGTTATTACCTCTTTTGTGATGGGTGAGAGGGGAAACTACTTTGAGAAACATGAAGGTATAATGCTGGCAATGGTAAAGACCACATGTATGGGCACTGATTGTGTTGAGGTTAGCTAGTCTGCTTCCACTCATGTTTTGCTTGTGATGGAGCTCTGAAAAAGGATCCTCTCCCAATGGCAGGGGAAATGGGTCCCTGATCAATGCTGGCAAGAACAAATAACTCAGTGAAGGTGAGTAGGAGTATTTTGTCAAATGCTGATGTCGTAGCACTGTGTGACCTCCGTGCAAAGGGAACTGGTGCCAACAGTGGTCTTGATGTGGATGAGGTATTAGGTGGGACATCAGTATGTAGCTCAGGACAGTGATGGGTTCAATCCTCTGCACTGCTGCTTGTAAGGCAGATGGAATTGTTGGCACTGGCCAGTCCTTCCTTATGCAAGCTTGACCACTGGCATAGCATGCCCTTGAAACAGTAGGCTTGTAGGTTTTTTGTGGAGGACTTATTTTGGACCCTCCTTGTGAGAAGCCCAAGTAATTTTTAGAGCTGCACTTCTGCTCCATCTGGCCTAGCCTCAATGTGATGAATTTCAGAGTTGGGGGGCATGAGCTCCAGGTCTGTCAGTACCAGGGTCAATGACAAGGTTACTGCTGTTTTTGTTTTCACTATCCTTTTTTATGCCTTTCCTCTTGCCAGAGAGGTGTGGATTGTCTGCTTGAGAGGCTCTAGCAAAGGATGACTTTTTTGGCTCCCGTTTGGCAGTTACTGCTTCCTCAGGAACAGAGCAATCCTCAGACTGTGCTAATTGATGCAGTTTGAGATAAGTGTCCCTGGAATTCTGTATTCTAGAGGAAAAGGAATGACCAATCATCTGTCTGGGAAGGGGCTTTCCCTCAGTCAGATCAGGCAGTGACCGTGGCCATTTGTGAGCAGGCTGGACAGGGTCTGAATCTGGACAGCGTGGTCTGCCATGAGGCATGGTGTTCGGTGCAAGATATGTGATCCTGAAGTACAAGGGAGTTGTTGAACTAGTTTAGTTTCTGACAGTCTAATTTGACTGTAGGTTTTAATGACAATCTTCAAACAGATCATTGAAAAACAAAGGTTAGCAAACACTAGCAGGTCCGACGCCTCTGGGTTCCACTTCACTGCCATGGATGGTCAGAGAAAAGTGGAGGAGGAAGGCAGGCAGGCACTCTACCTTTCATGCCTTTGTGTGGAAGCATGAAGTGGTACAGGACATGTGACCACAACTGACCCTACTATTCAATGGACTCCATCCAGTTTTAAGCCCATGAGCACCTAGTGTGATACATGCTGACAAATTTGAACTATGTACTTTTGTTAACATTCAAGGATGTACTCAGTAAGTATGTTAATACACTAAAACAGTGGTTCTCAAACTTTTGTACTGGTGACCCCTTTCACATAGCAAGCCTATGAGTGCAACCCTCCTCTTATAAATTAAAAACACTTTAACACCATTATAAATGCTGGAGGAAAAGCAGGGTTTGGGGTGGAGGCTGACAGCTTGTGACCCTCTGAGGGGTCCCAACCCCTAGTTTGAGAACCCCTGCACTAAAAGGAAGGGTTTGTGTGTTTGACAAGGTAACAAATATTTAACTACAGTGGAACCTCAGGCGTTAGACACTGTGGGAATGGAGGTTGTCTGTAACTCTGAAATGTTCATAACTCTGATCCAGCAGCTGACACTCCAGGCCAAGTTTCGGTAGCAGCTGAGCTCCCTGCTCAGCCCAGTATAAGTTTGCAAGCTTGTCCTCTTGCTGGTGGATGGGGGTGGGTGTGAGGAGAGAAAACAGCTTATCCACGGGGAGGAGGGAAGAGAGAGGAGGATTAAGGGGTAAAATAGTGTGTCCCTTCCTGGCAGGGACAGCGGTGAAAGCAATGCAGACCCCACTGCTGCTCCACTGCCTCAGGCTGGCAGCCCAGTTGTGCCTATATTGAAGATGCAATACAGGCACAGTAGAGTATTTACTTTTTTTTGCTCTGCTGCTGCCTGATTGGTTACTTCTGGTTTCACATGGTGTCCAGTAGCCTGGTAAGTCTGTAAATCTGGTGTTTGTATCTTTGAGGTTCTACTGTATACCCCAAGAAAAGCCCTATAGCCCCATACATGAATTCTCAGCAAACAAAGGAACTCTTTGGGCCGAGAAGGCCTCATTCAAACAATGTTGGGGTATTTTATTTTTAATAAAGCACTGGGAAATTTTAAATCTGAAACAATACATATACAAACTAGCAGTACTGTAGCTGTACACTAAAATACTATGACAAATTGAATTTGTCAACTTATACAGTTGATCACTTCCCCATCTGCTATGTACATAAGTTAAAGTGAAATAATTGCCATTGGAACTTTAGACTCTGGAGTGAAAAGAATAGGTTCAACCAACAGCTTATCTTAGTTATAAAGTCATGTTAAACAATGTGCTAAGAAGTTAATTTTTCAAATATATTCCAAATGAGAAATCAGTCTCCCACTATCAAAACAAGACCAGTTGTTTTCCACTTAAACTTCTGAAAAAATTCAGTATAAGATTAAATTGTCTTCAGAATCTTTACCTGTTGGTTTCAGATTTTACCTTTTACATCTAGTGTGATACAGCAGCCTGTCAAAAACACAGAGCTTTATTATACAAATCTATAAGCACCAATGAAGCAAGGATGTCCTCGGGGGGGGAGAATCTTTTATCACATCATAAAATGATCTCCTTTCAACTCATTTGTAGTATATGGGCAGTTGAAGTGTTCACACTATGCACTGTCAAATAATTTTATTTGAAAGAAACAGCAGGACCTCTTGATATTATCTTCCATTTTTCCTGGGACATTTTAGAAATAAGCATAATTCTTAAAAAATGAGGACTGGATAAATATACAGCTAAAACCATTTAAATGGATAATGCAAAATGTTTCTGAAACAACCAGGTCTTCAGTCACTTATGAGGTCTTGCACATATTTAATAAGCTAATGCTAAGAGAAATCAGTTTATATAATGTGCAAAATAATGGACATGTACTGTAAACTGAACCAGAGTATCTTACACAGCTAAATGCTTTCTGTATTCTGCTATTCATTTTAAAATTATACGATATTTTGGAATGACAGTATAAAAAGATACCTGCTTGCAAAAGTTACTCTATTTTGTAGTGCAGGATAGTAATCAGAATGGTCCAAACTCTGCCTTGCACCCTAGACAACCTCAAAAAATAGTTCAAGTTCCCTATTCAGGAGGGTGCTTCAACACTCAACTTCTATTTACTTCAGTAGAACTTAGATATATGATTAAGTGCTGTCCTGAAAAGAGAAAGCTTAAGTTAGGGAAGAATGTCTGTAAATCTTTTGATATATTTTCTTTATTCCTTCACTGGCACAATCTGCAGGTATAGGTTTCTTGCATCAGCCATGCAGTACATTGTTCAGCAGTTTTGATCTTAGAAAAAAAGCTGATTGAGAGTTGCTGACTTATTGGAAAATAGTATTGCAAGGTCTTAATTGCTAGCCCCAGATGTTTCTTTAGCCACAGCATTCTGGGATGCATCTCTGTGCGCTCACATGACATGGGAGGGGGGAATTAGTCTGGTATTGTGCTGTGCAAGAGTTTCCTATTTAAAGACGGTGACAAACATAGCAAGCTTTAATCTTACTAAGTTAATCAATATTTCTCCCTTTAGACCTAACAATTAAGAACTTCCCTCTTCTTTGTGCTAAGTCATACAATTGTGAAATATATCCCCCCCACACACAAGCTTTTTTGCATTTAGATCTGATTTCTTTTCAACAGGCTACATAAACAGAAGAGATCTGCTTTTCATCTCTGAATTGATAAGGCAACCATGATATACTGATGCCTCTAACTTTGGAATACAGCAATTGATTTACTACCACTGTTTATACTGACTTGTTTGTTTAAACACTTTAACACATGGCACCTGGAAGGATTTTTATAGTATTTCTCATAACCCCAAAAGCTCAACTGGTTTTTAGTTGTCACTGAAAAAAAATTATGGGGCATCTGATTTGTCTTAAGTCTTCAAAAAGAAGTCAAACATGCTGAAAACTTACCAGGTTATTTAAGTTAATTACAGTTCAGATATTCACGAAGATACAACAAAGTCTATTTAAAAGTATTCAGCTTAAAAGATGTTTTTTCCCAAGAAATTGCACTTTTCTGTCAAATGCACTCGATCGAACAGGAGAATTGGGTTCATAGAATGGATTCATTGCAAACTGAGGAAAAAGGAGAGAGACTCATCAGTAAACAGACTGCTTTGAACTACAAAGAAACAGAAATAATTAGTATTCTTCAGCTCATGGAGAACAAATTACTAAAAGCTCTACATTGAACCTTAGCACCACTTTTTAAGCAGAAATCCCTAGTGATATTATGGGAGATTTGTTTAAACTGGCATTGCTCTGAGGCTCAGGTGACTTTCTTCCCCTCGGTGTACTATTGCAGCTGCTGGAACCATTTTAATAAGATATGGTATTATTTGTTTAAATAAAGACAGTTATCAGACCACAAATATTAGTTCTTTCTCCATACCTTAATACTAATTTGATCAAGCTGAGAGGCAAATCTAAGATGCTGTAATTTACATCTGATGCCTCCCACCCCCATGTGTATATTACAAGAGTTTAGACAAACTGGGGTGCAATCCAGCCCAGTGAGGGGCTGTGAACACCTGCCCCACAACTGTGGGTGCCTCACAATGCCTTCTATTGTAGCTCCCAAGCTGGGCCGCTCACAAACAGCATGCAGGTCACACCCTGAGTGTCTGTGTATAGCTACAGCCTTAGTCCAGCAACGCTGACCCCAGCAGCCTGCCAAGAACACTCCAGTAACACACTGGCTGCCAGCAGTCTCAGTTACTACCTGCAAGGTGACCCCCAACACACACCCAGTCCTGAATTTCCCCCCAAAATGTGTGTTCTGAACTGTCCAGCCCTCTTCAGGGCAGTTCAGATATTAGAGGCCTCTTGCCCTTGTAAGGGGGTCAATATGCAACTGTTTGCTACTTTAACTGGAGTTACCTAAACAGTTCAGTTTAAACACTGGATTAGTTTTGATTAAAAATAAAAAGTTATAGATACATTTTAAGTGAGGAGAAATATAAGATATTGAAGTCACAAATGGTTACAAGAAAAAAAGATAAAATGATTCCTAGTAGCTAAAATTTAACAGAGTAGACTTGGCTCAAGGTAAAATCCTTACCGCATGCTCCCAGTAATATTGCTCACTAAAATCCCAAGCCAGGATCCTCCCCCCGCCTAGGATAACCAGGTGTCTGGTTATCGACTGGAAAGTCTAGTCAAAAGGGGATCTGGCAGTGTGTGGTCAGATGTACTGATGAGACACAAAGTCCAGTTACTGCAGGTAGGAGGGAAGTGACAGCCTGTTGCCTGGTCCTGAAGCGATGGCAACACACATGCACCTTGGGCAGCCCCGTTGAGGAGCATGGTTTGCAGGGCTGCAGCTGAGGACAGAGTGTGGGGGCCCATGGTGAGGGGGGTAAGGCTGCCAGCAGGAACAGAATGAATGTGAGCTGCCCCGCCACCAGTGCTTCCCCCAGCTACGTTCTCAGGCAGCTCTGGGGCAGGGAGGACTTGAATGGGCAGGGAAGAGCACTACTGGGCAGGCAACACAGAGGGAGGCAGAGGCTGCCATACAGGAGGGTGATGTCCTAGCTCGCCAATGGGACTGCCTGGCTGCAGTGCTCTTCTGATCTGCGCTTCCAGGTTGCCTGTTGAAGCTGGGGTTTGCAAGTCCCTTGGGGCTGTTCATACTGGAGTTGAGGGCAGCGAGCGAAGGGGAGAGGGGAGCAGGAAGGGGGCCTCGAGGGAAGAGGCAGAGCAGGGTTGGAGCCTCAGGGGGATCCAGTTTTCAGCCATTAGAAAGTTGGCCACCCTACCCCCACCTAAAGTCAAAGGGCCGGTTCCTTTCTCATCTTAAGTGAAAAAGTATGTGCGAAAGAGAGAGAGAGAGAGATCAGGGGGATGTTCCCCCCCCTCATTTTTGTAGTCTAGTCCCCCTTTGGTAAAAGAGTCTCTACAGTTTGCTTGCTAACATGCAGATTGATCTGTTCCTGCCCCTCTTCATTGCCAACGAATGGCCACCTGACAAGTGGCTGCTCATCAACTTTGATGAAACCTGGATAGAGGGTGTCAACTTTTCCTTTGTCTTTGAGGAACAAGTTTACTCTCTCCCCAGACTTGTCTGGTAAACACACAGAGCCATAATTTCATCTTATGTTCATAACTATTAATACACATTGTGTACATACATTTTATTATATTATTGACCAATGAGTTATTAGTTTTAAAATACCTCACAAGGCATACTTTGTACAAAGATTATTACAACAGCACGTAAGGAGTGAATACAGGATGTATTCAGTCACACAAACTCCCTTAGACTTTCAACCTCTAATGTATCATCACTAAATTTCACCCACAGGAGTTGAGAAGATGCAATTTACACCATTTTAGGCTCACCCCTAAATTTGGCTCTTAGTGATAATACCTTCACTCAGAAATGAAGGCCTCCCCATGGCCAGAACTGCTTATAATGCTGTGTGAATTAAACCTGCTAAGATCAAGTCTAATAGACACAGTATTAACTGCTCTGGCTACAGGGCTTGGTCTAGATAGGGCTTCCAGTGTGATTAACTCTAGTACAGCTGCACCTGTGGCAATGGTGGGAAATTTTGGAAACTTTCCCTAATGTAGACATTGCTTAAGTGTGTATGATAGAACACACTGTAAAATTTTACACAAAATTATAAGAAGATAATTCTTACCTTTATATACAAGTCATAGACATCACTAAAGAAGTTTTTAATTCCATCTTCTTGTCTTACATCATGAAGCATAATAAATCTCATATGTGGAACAATTAAGGAAGCAATTTTCCTTCCAAAAATTTAAGATTAACTGTTAGTGACTCTCTGCTCTTCCCTCCCTCCAAGTAGTTTTATAACCAACACTAAATTTGCAAAACTAATGAAAAATCTGACATGGTATTTGATTGAGGCAAGCACTCACAGCTCAATGCAGCAAATGCTTACACCTGAATTTTATATATGCAAGACAGTGTTCTTTGGAAGCTAGAATTTAAAGAGGGATCTCCAGGCACATTAACTGTAGGAAGCATTAAATTTCAATCTGTAATTAAACTTCCCATGCTTTTGGGAGCAAAAAGTGTTACTCCCTCATTCAAGTCTTTATTTTGTAAAGAATATCCAGATTTTGAAGAGAATTTAAAAATAAATAAATAAATAAATACAAAGTAATGTTTCCATGTACCTGAAATTAGAATAGATTGTCAAACAAATACAATCACTATATTTACAACATACGTGGCAATTAACACCTGGTTTCTAATATTCAAATCAAGTCTGTACATCTAAATGACCTGAAAAAACTATCCATTTTTACTGGATGTGTAGAGACCACCAACTGGATGTGTATAGTTATATCCAAGCCTCTTATTTGCAGCTTTCAAAAAGGGGTTGGAATTACAGAAAACTGTATGGGCAGGAACAGATCTCTCTACTGTTCCTCTCCAGTGTTATCTTTATAAAACTTACTCCTCTGCTCAGGGCAATCCCCCTTAGGGTATTTCTTCTGCCCTCCCCATCCCCCCTCCAGATTAAGATCCATTGCTGTCCCTCCCACTTAGTCCCATCTTTTTAGAAGTGATCTGCCTCTGACAAACTTCATCCAGATGTTGGGTACTATCTCTAACCTACCTTCCAGTAAAAACAGCAGAATTAGTTCTGCTCTAGAATTGTTTTATTTAACTTATCACTTGCTGGCAAGTGAATAAATACAGAGAAAGGATATGTCCTGCAGTGACAAAAGCAGAAACAAACCATTCATTAAACTTGTCCACTGTCTTCAGGTACATGTTGTTAGACAGCCACATGTTCTCGTCTACTAGGTCAAGAGCAGCATGAGCTATGAACTGGTTGAGATGACGATGATCATCCTGATATCATGGAAAACAGAATGAGCTATTTCATATGAGTAAAACCTAAATAAGAATAATCTACCAGCTGCTGTAATAGCTGTACATTTTCTTAAAGTTTGTACCCTCAACCTTTTTTCTGCAAGATATAACATGGTCTTTAATCAAATACAATAAGATATATTCCCAATACTTTGGTGTCAGAAGTGAAAGACAATAGGGCATCAGAGAACAGAAGAACTAGGGTTTTGTTTTTAATACAGTCCATTTTACTGAAAGTATTGTGCAATAGATCCTAGGATTAAATATCATGGGTGTAAATAAGTGCAACTCCCTCTATGATAAATAGGAATGGCATTCACTTAATGCCACAGCTGAATTCGTCCCCAACAGTGCAGTGACTATGTAAGTAAATGCAATTATGTGCTTAGCAGTAGTTCTCTCATCCTAGAATATTAAAAAATGGTTTACTGAAAAGAAGAGCTGGCCAAGACCATTCCCTACGTGTCCAACAGTTTAGAAACTGTGGCTGTCCTTCCAGCATATCCTATACTTAGGGAATACTGCTCAGATGCTGCTCTTGCACCCACAGGTCTGCTCCATTCCTCATGGTTTTCTCCATTTTCTGATCTCACATATTATAGGAAGAGTAAAATTTGGAAGGGAAATAGATTCATTGGAAGCAAAGAGTATCATTCTTCCTTCCTTACCAGCTAATGGGAGGAGGGGAAAAAAAAGGAGAAAGTGCCCTACTTTACAACACAGAGTATAGCCAATAAATGGGGCTTATCTCTTGTTTTTTGAAAGTGTGCCGTGGAACCTTTAGCAACCACTACAGATAGGCAGTAGAGTCCTTGGCTTAATGTCTTATCTGCAGGTCTGCACTTAACAGCAGTCCACCTATCTACAAATACACTTACTTGTCATTACTGAGTAACAGACCAAATCATGGAATTTACAAAGCCAAATTCTGTGCTGATTTACAATACACTCCATGCAAACCATTTACCTCAATGAGATTTTACAGGCTGCAAGTCTGTGCAGAATTTGTTGGTCTATGCAAAGTGTTGTTATCCAGAAGCAGAGGCTATTTGCCAAGAGGTACCAATATCATTGGCTCTCTCTAATTTAGTGCAATTATATTCTCAAGAAGTTTATAACTTATTATTAAAAATGTGACCCGAGATTATGCTTGCCTGCTTCAAACCATTTTAATTTTAGAGTGCAAAAAATGAAGTTCACTCAATTGTCAGATGCATTTCAGCACGACTATACATCTACAAAGCTCTGTTTAAGGATATATTGAAGATACTAATCAATAATGCAAATTAAACTCATTATTAAAACGCCCTTTTCATTTCAGCGCTGTACTCTATGCTTTTTTTTCCTTTATGCACCCATCATCATGGTATGTGTGTTCTATCCTCATTGGAGCCATTATATTATACATTTTCTAACCTGTATTTATTTATAAAGCTACTCAATCAGGTCAATTAACACATACTTTGGAAACCTTAGTCAGACCTTACCCAGTTTTAAAAAAATAACCAGGATTATCATTCAAATAGAAACTAAAGCCAGTGGTATTAACTTTGTGCTGTAATATTAATATTTAAAAGTCAAAAAAATATTAGAGTACAACTCTAAACTTAATCCTCTGCACTATCCTCTAGAACAGTGAGTGACATCACATAGCTGCACTATGGAGGTGGTGAGATAAATCAAGGATAGCATGTAACATACATCAAGCAGCAACTATTAGTAGTACATACTCGATTCAAAACAGAATCTCTGAAGAAACAGAAATGTATGCGTTCTGGAGAGACAGAATGGTCTGGTGTTTAATGCATAGAAAGAGTCAGGAGCTATGGGTTCTATCTCCTGCTCTGCCAAAAGTTTTCTGTACAAGCAGTAACAATACTAGTTACCTCAAAGGGTTGTGGTGAGACTTTAGTAATTCATGTTTGTAATGAACGTTCAACAAATAGAAACAGCTATAGATATACAAAGTATTATCAAAATCCACAAACCTTGGACTCCACTTTTCCAGAAGGAAGAAATTCCATTTCAAATACTGGATTATCATGATGACCAACTATTACAAAGTAGAAACTTCCAGACATTGTCTTCAAAATAATGTCCTTTCCAAGAAAGAAAAGACATGCTTTACAAATGCTTCCAGACACATGAAATGTAAATGCATTCAGAAAAGTCCTAAAAAAGAGTCAGCTAATACAAAATTATATTGTATATTAAGAAGAAACCATGTCAAATAGTTTAGGTAAACAAGATTTTGTAAGAGTTTTACAAACTTAAGACATTTGTATATATTTAAACATCCCATTGCAATCTAATTCTTAGAAAATTTTGCTAGCATACCACACCCTGAAGGTGTAGTTGGCTAGTAACGACAGCCAAAAGTGAAAGTAAATATGGACCTGCTCCTGCAGTGACTAATGATTTGCTTCATTTTAGTGTAATAGTTCCACTAACTTCTATCCAATAACAGTATATTAAGTTAAGCACTCAGTGAGTTGTTACAAGATTGGGGCCTAATCTAGCTTTTGTCCAAAAGTGTGAAATTCTAGTATGGTAATAAACAAGACAATAGCGCAGGGGTGGCCAACCTGAGCCTGAGAAGGAGCCAGAATTCATCAATGAGCCACAGTAATACGTCACAGCCCCCCACGAGCTCCCTCACCCTGCTCCCAGCGCCTCCCACCCACCGGCAGCCCTGCAGATCAGCACCTCCCCGTCCCTCCTGATAAGCAGTTTTCTGGCATGCAGGAGGCTCTGGGAAGGAGTGAGGGCCTGTCAGGCTGAAGGGAGAGGGTGGGTAGGAATTGGGGGCAGGGCCTGTGCCCGAGCCAGGGGTTGAGCAGTGAGTGCCCCCCGGCCAATTGGAAAGTTAGTGCCTGTAGCTCCAGCCCCGGCACTGGTGCCCATACAAGGAGCCGCATATTAACTTCTGAAGAGCCGCATATGGAGCCACAGGTTGGCCACCCCTGCAATAGCGCAAAGCAAAAGGGGCACTGTGTGCTTGAAATCTTTTCCAGTTTCAGAGGTGAAAGTTGCTTCGTGCTCTACCTTCCCCGCCCATGCCAATTTCCATCCAGCCACGTGTGCCTGTTCCTTTGAAGGCTCTGCTCTCCGCGAAAGCTGCAGGAAAGACTCACACTCCCGGGCCTGGGGGGAGGATTACCGAGCAGCTGACACCCACCCGGGGAACGGAGGCCGAGAGGGGGGCTTCGGAGGCAGGTGGGGCGGAGCGGGGCCGGACGGGACCGGCTAATCGCTCTAACTCTCCACTTTCGCGGCCCCTCCCCTGCCTCGCGGGGGTTAATTCGCGGCCGGTGACAGACGCGGGCGAGGGAGGCCCAGTGCAGCAGCCAGCCGCTGCCCCCTGCCGCGGGGAAATGGGGGGCAGGGATCGTGGCGCTGGTCACCGGTACCGCGCGCGGGGGAGGGGGGGCAGATTCGACCCCCCCGCCCCACGATTGTGACACTTCCACCGCAGCTCCTGGCAGGGGGAGGGGCACAGAGCAGGCCTCAGTCCGCCCAGACGCTCACCCGCTTGTCCAGACGCCGCTGCACCAAGCTGTCCCCGCGGAGTCCCTAAACATCCGGCGCGGGCTGATGGCGTCACCACTGGTCACCGCACTCTGAAGGGCCCAGCCGCTCTCAGGTATCGCGAGAGCGATCGATCACAGTCGGTTCTCGCGAGGGTTCCGTCAAGGGGGCGGCGGTTGGTAACTGCCGGGCCGGGCTGAGCCGCAAAGCGGCGTTTAGCCCAGTTTGGAGGCAGGTGCCGTTGCCGGCGCCGCGGTTCAGCGAGGTGACTTGCGCAGTCGCGCGCACTCCCGGCCGCCAGCCCCTCCCTCACTGGGGCGCCCCCTGCCGGGACTGGCGGGGCTGACGCTCCTCCGGGCATCGCCCCCACTAGGAGCCGCGTAACCGTTAGCGGTTCCTAGGCTCAGTCCGGGCCGGGCTCCGCCCCCTGCCCGGGGGCGCCGGCGCTCTGCGTTCCCCTGACTCCGGGAGCTGGGGCTTTAGCGAACGAAACAGCCCGTCTCACGGGACACGCGGTGAAGCCGCGGCGATTGCCCAGGCCCGCGGCTGCGACCTCCTCCCCCAAGCTGGTATTTCTGTGAGGAGCCGCATCCCCCTCTGGGTACCGGGGAGGTGTAAATGGTGCAGTGTGACAGGGCCTGCTGGGCCCCACCCGTTCAATAGAGCTGTGCTGGGGTGGGCTTCTGGGGTGTCTGTGGGGGAGAGGAGTAATGGTGTTTTGTAACATTTTAGCTCAGGATGGCTTCTTCTGAATTTCAAGCGTTGTCCCAAGATGAACTCCGAAAAAGACTTTATCAGACATTTAAGAACCGAGGTGTTTTGGACACACTTAAGGTGTGTGTTTTGTTTTAAGCGAGTGATACATAGCACTTGCCTCACATATGTTTTTATGTGGCTATCTGGCATTGAAAACAATAGGCTGTGTTTCACAACAGTGAAATCCATGGTAGACAAACCTTTTTTTGTTACATGGTCTTTTCTCTCTAGGAAAATGCATATTTTGGCCCCAATTCTGCAAGCTGATCCATGTGTAACTTTGTCTGCATGAAGCCCTGCCAGATGCAAGAGGGTTTCACACAGGTGCAAATGCCCACCTGCATGGATTGGCTTGTGGGACTGTAGCCTTCGTTAGGAGTGTAAATAGTTTATTTCTTGTCTAGAAACATTTACCTATCACTTATTTACCTTTCAATTAAACCCACCAGCCAAAATGAAAATACTTGGGCTGTCATGGTATTAGCCAGGATGGGCAGGGATGGTGTCCCTAGATTCTGTTTGCCAGATGCCGGGAATGGGCAACAGGGGATGGATCACTTGATGATTACCTGTTCTGTTCATTCCCTCTGGGGCACCTGCCATTGGACACTGTCGGAAGACAGGATACTGGGCCAGATGGACCTTTGGTCTAATTCAATATGGCTGTTCTTATGCCATCTCCCTGCTGCTCTTTTAAGGATAAAATAGTTGCCTACTCTTTATAATATAGAGTATTTAATTATAAAATATTTAATTTTTAAAATTTAACTTATTTCTCCCTTTTATAATCTTTCTTCCTGATTTCATGCTACTTTTTCTCTTCTTCCGCTTCTTGAACGCATAGTCGAACAGTCGGCCATAACAATCGTTCGCCATTTGGTCCATTCCTATGCAGCCGCAAAGGCTTGATGGGCCGAGAGTCCAAAATTGGAACAGACATGATGCACCCATATAATATGGGGTCTTTGTCTCAACCTGCTCCACCCTTCGGTTGGTGGAAGTTTATCCCAGCTGTTACAAGCCACCAGGAGAATGGCATTTGCCAGAACGTCTTGTGGCATTCTCGCAACCTGTCCATAAAGTGTAAGACGCTGTCTGTGGACAATGGCCCCAGTAGTGTGTAGACCGGAGCGACCGTAAACATCTGCATTACAAATGAAGTCATTCCACGTTATACCCAATATATGACGTTGGAATTTTGTGTGGAAAGCCTCAAGCTTTGCCCAGTTTGGGTGGCATAGTGTCCATGTTTCGCAACCGTACAGTAGCACAGAGAGGATAGATCCTGAACTTGGTTGTCGTGCTGAGATTATGTTGATTCCATATTTGTTGTAAACGACCCATGGCAAAGGCTGCATGCCAATCCAGTGGAGAACCTCTGTGTGAGAGTTGGAGGAACTGGTGAATATAAAACCCAAATAGCAAAAGCTGGAGACTGATTTGACAGTTTCATTATTCAAAGAGATTGGCATCACTGATGGACTTGATCCTAGATTTTGCAGCTTTGTCTTTGACCGCGAAACATGGAGGCCATTCTTAGCCAGTTCCTCCATTTGCTGGACGGAGTGCCTCGTGAAACCTGTCGGGGCTCTGTACTAGAACATCATCCACATAAATCAAGATCTGAGTGCGAGAGATTGCCAGTCTTAATTCCTATGGATCTGACAGAATGCTGCATTATGAAATCCATTGCCTGACAGAAGAGTGCAGGGGCCAAGACACAGACCTACCTGACACCAGATACTGATTTAAAAGGTGCCAACATCAGATTCCCAAGACGTAAACGGGCAGTGGTTCCGTTATGCAGCTCGCTAATCAAGTCCTGCAGAGTGGTTGGGACATCGATGTCCTTCAAGGCCTTCCATAATTAGACTCGGTCAGCAGAATCAAATGCAGCCTTAAGATTGACATATGCCACGTGCAGAGGCTTCTTGAACTTGCGATATATCTCCAACAACAAGAGGATGGCCAAAATGGTGTCTAAATTGGACCTGTTCCTCGTAAAGCCTGACTGTTGGGGGCAATGCTTCTGATGTAGCAGGGGCTCCAAACACTCCAGCTACTTTTTCTCCCCTGTAATAAGTCACAATAATAATTGTAGTGCCTAGTGGCCCCAGAGGACATCAGGGTTCTATTATGCTAAGCACTGTACATGCACACAGTAAACAGTACCTGCCCCAGAGGGCACGCACTTTAAATAGATAACCAGATAAGGGATGGGGGAAAAGGAAATATTATTCCCATGTAATGGAGAGACAACTGAAGCATGATGAGTTTAAGTGCTTTGCCCAGTGGTCACAGAGGAAGCAGAGCTGCAAGTTGAACTCAGATCTTTTGAGTCCCATCAGGACTCAAGTGTATTTTTCTCGACATTTTGTGTATGTTGTTTCCTTGTCTCTTTCTTTCCCTTGTGTTTTCACTTTCCCTATATTTTCTGTTTCTTTTTCCTTTTCTCCACAATTTCTTTCTCTGTCATCTACTTCTCTTTTGTACCTTGTACCATCCATCTTTCCTAGTCTCAAACATTTCTGCATTCATATAATCTTTACTCCATTTACCTGTCTCTGTGAGAAAGAACTAGATAGTCCAGTTGCGTGGCTCCCTAGTTCCCCCCCGCCCCTATCTGCAATGCCTAGACCACTCTGCTCCCTTTTCCCTCTTCTCAGCAACTTCTTGGCCTGTCACTTAGAGGACTAGTGAATTTTTCAAATAAGCTGTAATTGCAGCAGTCAGGCCTGGCTTACACCTGAAACGTAGGTTGACCTCGCTAACTCTCTCAGGGCTGGGAAAAATTTCATGCCCTGTGCGCTCTAATTAGGTCAACCTAACCCCCACTGTAGACGCAGCTAGGTCGATGGAAGAATTCTTCCATCGACCTAGCTACTGCCTCTTACTACAGTGATGGAAAAACCACATCTGTTGCTGTAGTCATTAGCATAGTTGCAGTACAGCAGTTGTACCACTATAACGCTTGTAGTGTAGACGTACCCCGAGGCAGTAGCAGGAAGAGAAGGCGGGGGATGGGAAAAGCAATTAACATCAATTTTGAAATTTAAATTGCATCCTTGCAGAGCTTTGAGGATGATACAAATGTATGTCTTTTGGATGAGGATAAATAGGTCATTTTAGCCCAATCTCTAATAATTATTGGCGTAGAAGTTAAAGACCCCTAGGCACCTTTAGAAATAGTTGAGGATGATAGACCTGGTGTCCTGAGCAATTTTCTAAATTCTATAAGAGCCAACCTTAAATTAGAATTTTTTTCTTTTTGTTTCTTTACATCAGACTTTTAAATTTAATATGTTGAATCCGTATGGCTTCAGGAAAGCAAAAAAATTCCAGAGTTTTCTCTTTCTGTTGTTGAATTTCTGTTTTCACCAGACGCAGCTCCGAAACCAGCTAATCCATGAACTGATGCATCCAATTTTAAGTGGAGAACTTCAGCCACAACCAGTGTCCAGTGAAGGCAGTTCATTGTTAATTGGAGCTTCCAACAGCCTGGTGGCAGATCACCTGCGCAGTTGTGGCTATGAATATTCACTTTCTGTTTTCTATCCAGAAAGTGGATTAAAAAAGGAGAAGGTGAGCTCTATAATTTACTATGCAAGGGATGTGAAAGATGATATTCATATAGGACTTTGCAATTGTTAACTGATCCTTCCAATATAATTTTAAAAATCCTCTGTGCAAAGGAAGAGCCAAGGGTTCACCTAGTAGTTTCAAGGCTTGTGAGTTCCATATTCGTTTGAAACTTCTAGTCCAAATTATAGCTGTTAAGTGCCCAGATAAAGGGGTTCCACACTCAGAATACTTGGGCTGTAGTGTCATTGACACTACAAGTGTTGTATAGATGGTGAGTGTTCTGCAACTTTGTATTCTAAAAGGTAGCCTTGATTCAAACAGATAATTGGGATATAGTCTTTTACATTGACAAGTCTGATGAGACAGTCTTTCTTCCTTCATTGGAATGCTCTTGAGCTGTGGAAGGGCATTCTCTCAAGAGATATCCCTGACTGCCAGTTAGCTCACATATAGGAGCCAGACAGCCTTAGCCCTGTTCCACAACTGGTCTTTGTGTGATAAAGTGGTGGATCAAATCTGTCTCGAGTGTAGCACATCCAAGGTGGATCTCTTTACCACAGCAAAGAAAAACAGGTTAGTTACTTGTAATGGTCTTAAAATTTTGATTATTTTTTTTTGCCTTTCTTTTTTAAAAAGGTGTTTACTATGCAAGATCTTCTGCAGCTAATTAGAATCCATCCAAAATCCAGTCTTTACAAGTCATTGGTAATGATTTTGATTCTGTAACTCTTACTTCAATTATAATTTATGATTGAATACACAGAATAATAATCTTATCTTTTTCTCCATACAGACTTCAGGAGCTCAGAAAGAGAACAAAAAAGGTATGACATTATATTTACATATTAGGCATATAATGAGTCATCCACTTCCCCTAATATTTCCCCTTTTCCTTGATAGCTTAGTTTATAATATCATATGAGCAATAGAAGCTCACTTTGTTTTATTATACCTAGATACTGAATACATTTGATTAAATGTTTGATTCTTAAAAGTTATTTATGATTATTTAGTTTAGTGACTCTTATGCTTCTATTGGGGTTTTCCCAATTTGTGGCATGTATGAAATGTTAAACCTCAACTCCAAGCAAAAAAATTAAAAATTCCAGTATTATAAATAAAAAAATTAAAACCTTAAATCCTGATGAATGTAAAACTTCCAAAGACCATAATATTTTATATTCTAATGCTGGGGAATTCAGATGTTCTGCATTATTTTCTATTCAATTGCATTCATATACTGTGTACGGGCCAGCACTAGTGTTCCCTCTAATTTTTTACGTCCATGTGCTGAATGAATTTTGTTATGTGCACCAATATGGAGGTGGTGTGTGGCAGGGCTGGGGATGAGGGGTTCGGGGTGCAGGAGGGGGCTGAGAGCTGGGGCAGAGGGTTGGAGTGCAGGGGGGGTGAGGGCTCCGGCTGGGGGTGTGGGCTCTGAGATGGGGCCGAGGATGAGGGGTTTGGGGTGCAGGCTGCCCCAGGGAGAGAAGATTCCCCCGTCCTCTCTTGCCACAGGAGCTCGGGGCCGGGTGAGAGGTGCCTCTCCCCAGCTGCTGCAGCTCCGGCTAGGCTGGGGGAGAGGCGCCTCGCCATAGTCATGGCAGCTCCAGCAGGGCTAGGCTAGGCTGGGCAGCTCCAGTGGGACTAGGCTAGGGAGAGGGTTGCCTCTCCCCTGCTGCGGCAGCTCCAGCGGGACTGGACCAGGCCCCGGGAGAGGCGCCTCTCCCTGGCTGCAGGAGCTCTGGCGAGGCTGGGCTGGGGGAGGGGCGCCTCTCCCCACCTGCGCGGCCCTTGATCGCCTGCTGCGCAGCCGCACAGCTTGGAAAGAACTTAAGCTTGCACCAAGATAAACTTTCATTTTATTTGCCTGTGGCTTATATAGGGCACAATTTTCACATCTGGTCCCAACGTTAGGCTTCTAAATCTGTATTTAGACACCTAAAAAAAAAAGTGGCTTGATTTTCAGAAACACCAAACACCTGCAGCTCTTGTTGATTTCAGGTATTGGTGATGATTGTAATCTGCTCCCTCGAGTTTGGTGGTAAAAGTAGCAGGAATGGTCTAGGTATGCTGATTATGGGAGACTCGAGCATGCTTGCTATTAATATACTTGTTAGAATTTTTACATTGATTTTATTGAATGATTTCTTGTGTTCTTTGGCAATAATTTCATCCTCTCACTGTTTAGTTTTTTCTTTGAGTTATCTCTGCCTTCAAATTTCAGTTTGTTGTGGAAGGGAAAAGTAACTAACATACTGTATCTCTAAGGTTTTCTTATACAGATGTTAATGGAGCTGACAGAGCATCACCTATGTAAGGAAAGTCGCAACACAGAAACTCAGACAATCTCAATACCTCCTTACAGAGAATCTCTTGGTAAATGGGGCTTTTTCCTCAGCTAGCTCAATACTGTATCCTTTCAGCACTTGCCCATGCCTGATTGCATCCCTCACTGGATTGCATCCCTCTCTGGTATTCTAAAATAAGGCAGGGAAAGTGTAAGACAAAAGTTTTGCTGTGATTTGGGTCTTCAGTTCAAATAGTTTCTTATGTATTCAGCTGATACGAAAACAAATCCATACTTCCATCCTAGATGTATTATTTTTAGTATTATACACCTCAAAGAGCAGATGCCTAAATAATTTTTAGTTTAAGGAAATTTATTATTAGAGTTATTTAGGAGTTTTAAATTGTGTGTGTGTGTTTGTTGTTTTTTTGGGGGGGAGGGCAGGTGGAAAATACCAGTTAATTGAAAATGAAACTCTTTGCAGGAACATATCATTTTTTTAAGGAAAATTTCCTGAGATCCAGGATGGAACATCTGGTGAAAATGAGAGACCCAACTCCTGCACCTCAGAATAGTCAATAGCTCAGTAATAAGGGCACTCACCTGGGATGTGAGTCCCTACATCTCCGACAACCCATGTGAGTGCCCTAACCACTGGGCCATTTGCTATTCTGATGTATGTATATCTTTCTCTTGTTTTTTCATGAAAAAAAATCTAAAGATCTCTAAAGTTTTGCCCTGATGCAGAACAAGAACATTTTTTGAGATCTTGAAAATTTTTGTTGGACAAGCAAATTGTTTTTGCCCAGCTCTAATTATAATATAATTTATTAATTGTTTCCAGTGCCAAAAATCATAGCATAAGACAGAAATTGAACATACTGGTAATTGCATTACTAAAAACCGTCTAGTAGATTTATTCATTGGAATGTGTTGTTACTGAAGTTAGTTATACAATATAATTTACAGGCACCTGTTCTTTGAAATCAGAGCTTCATGTCTGAATTAGTAGCTGATGAGATTCCATCTCAGGGGGTAATATGCAGCAGTTGTGGGGCAGGAAGGTGCCATTTGGTTTCAGGATCCTTTATCTCCTCTTGCCCAGTTTTCCTCAGGCACTCACTTTACTTGGGAGAACAATGAGAGAAGTTGGCTACAATCCTAACCAGTTATCCTGATTGCTTTATTTAAAGATCACCTCCAACTTTTTGCACATAAACAATTACACCTCTACCCCGATATAACGCTGTCCTTGGGAGCCAAAAAATCTTACCGCGTTATAGGTGAAACTGCGTTATATTGAACTTGCTTTGATCCACTGGAGCACGCAGCCCCGCCCCCCCCCCCCGGAGCTCTGATTTACCGTGTTATATCGGGTCGTGTTATATCCGGGTAGAGGTGTAGTTGGACCGCGTGCCATATTGTAAAGTACCTAGGTGGCTTGTTTCCAACCATGTTGTTGTATGTCCTCACTTTTCAGGTCTTAAGTGACCATTTCTTTTCACTGCTTCCTTGGTAGCTTTTCAGTAGAAGCTAGGCATGAATAGTTAAAACCTACAAGGACCCCTAAAATCTTGGGTAGGAGCAACAGCATTACTAAATGTAATATTTCTGTGTGATGGTACATTGCATTATTCTTTATATAGTTGAGAAACTTCAGCTGATTGATGAACAGTTTGCAGACATTTATCCCCAGCATCAGAAATTTGAGTCTTTAGAAGTGAAACTCATTGAATATCGAAAAGAAATAGAGGACCAGCTTCAAGCAGAAATGTCTGAAAAGGTATAACCCAGAAATAAATTGTCATGGAAATGAGGGATGGGGAAGTGTTCATTTTACGTTGCAAATTTGTAATGCTTCTAATAATTTTGAATCAGAAATGAGTCATGCCAATCTATTATATGTGCAAAAACTACATGTTCTCTGTAGGAGGTAAAAGTTGGGAAACTGAGTCATAAATCCGCCCAATTTAGGCTTAGTCAATTTTTCCCTTTATTTATACAATTTCAGACAGAATCGTTGTCATGTATAGTATCCAGACGTACATTTGTGTCAGACTAATAACAGAGAACACAGAATTGGTAAATGGGCCCAAGGGACCACATTCTGGGCCATCTTCTATGATAGTCGTCGCCTCTCTGACCCCTTTTTCTGGTTCTTCAGTCCCATTCTTCAGTTTCTGGTCTGGTGTTTCTCCAGTTAGTGAACATGGGCCCGTAGGTCTTTTATACATTTCTACATTGCAGATTACTTAATCTTTATCCAGTCAGTTTTTAGCACATCAGCCTTTTGGATTTTAAGTAACCCATAATTACGCATGCACAAGATTCAGTTACCCAACTTCTGCATTTTTCCCTGCTGGTTTTGCAGTTTCTGTTTTTGTGTCACCCTGCCCTGGGTCTTCCTAGGAAAAGTTTTTTTTTTTTTTAATTTATCATTACATGTTTGTGTCTCGTTTACTTACTACTTACAACACCATGTGTTACCTTTGTTAGCAATAACATGTTAAAGAGATTAGCAATTTTGTGTAAAAGAAGAATTGGCAAAACCACACTTATGCCACCAAAGCCTTGGCCTAAGTGTTACCTCATCTGCACTCATTCACTATACATAGCTACACTTTGAAAGATTTATAATTATCAAAGCTCTTAATCTTACTATTTACGAGTCTTCTTTTTATATTTCAGTGTTATAAGTCAACATGTTTTTCTGTGCTACCCTTAATCTATTAGAAAGGGAAGTATGAGTTATGGGAAACATGATGATTCTTTAATGTCAGCATTTCTTATCTTTTTTAAACATGTATTTTCATTCTAAGTCCAGTTTTGTTTGTGAATGATTACAAAGAAACTTCATTAGAAATTTTTCTATGAATACATTTTTGTGGGGGCAGTCTTAATTTTAGGGCTTTTGTTGTTTAGTTGCTTTTAATTGTATCCTAACATTCTCTCCTCTCAGCATTTTAGATATGGGGGCTGCAAATGAAATAAATTGCATGAGAGACTCAGAAAATATCTCACCAAAATACATAGCAAAAGCCTCCAAAACAGCACTGCCTTTTCATGGAGAATAGAAAAATCATAAAATGTGAAAAATATTGTGGATCCCATGATTTTAGGATCTCTTGCAGTTTTTGTCTGCAGTCTACAATATTTTGCAAATTTTAAGATTGTATTAAAAATAAACTGAATTTATATAATCTAAACAATAACAGCAATAATAGGCAATTCACCATTCTCTGTTCCTATGAGCCTCACTGAAGTTCAAGCTTCAAAGCATAATTGGGACCTAAATGCAATCTTTATTAAACACTGTCCCCTTTTTCTTAAAAACAAGAAAATTCAATGCAAAAAAGTCACATAAAATAAATAAATCAAGTATTAGGAAAAGTTAAGCTTCTTACCACAATATTGATTTGGAAACAATTACCATACTGTAGATATTATGGTACACATTTAATAAGAAAAACAGAAATGGAAAATATTACATGTGTGGAGCATGGTCAAGTTAATGTTGCAACACTGATGTTGTGTTAAGATAGGGTCCTCTGTGAAATATTACAAAAGGACTGGGACTTCATTAGGTTGTGCTAAAACTATGTGCCCGCTGAACAGGCTCAGATTTTAATCAGAATTTAAACTTCCCCCTTTCCTTTATAAAGTCACTTCTTTTGCTAAACACTATATGCAAAGTATCAACTTTCAAAGTTCAGCCATATCTTAATGTCATGGTGAAATAAAAAGGCAGTCAGAATAAATAATAATTCATTTTGTTTTTTATGTTATAACCCATAAAAACCTGAATATAATTACCTCAAGTTTAACAAAAAATCCCTTTGGACAACATGTCTACAACAGATCCTTGAGAACTGCTGTTAGACACAGGGATACAATATAAGCAAACTTCTTGTATCATCTTTCTTTAGGGAGGTAACTAGATCAGAACTTCCTTGTTTACATCAGCTGAGTTAGTGGTAGCACTAGTGGGGATTTTTTGTGTATAATTCCCCAATATAGACATGATTTTACTGTCATTAAAGGCTTGGGCAAGTTTTTGTGTAGAAACGTTTGCATTGGTTTAGTTAAATTGGTGCAACCCTTTGTGTGGACAATCATAAATCAGTTTAGAAATGGCTTATAGCAATTTGGTTTAAATTGATTCCTTAAAGTGTAAATTAAACCAGTATAAGCCATTTATAAACAATTTTAAGTGTCTCCACACTTGGGGTTGCACGTGGTTTAACTAACTCAGTACAAGTTTGTGCATAGACCCTAATTCCCTGGTCCGAGGTCTCAGGCTATGCTCTTTTCCTATCTAACTTCTGTCTTCCCTCTGTTTTCACATTTTCCCTATTCTCTTTCATTTAGTACTCCCATTCATTCTCTCTCACTTGCACTCTCTCATCCATTTTCTCTCTCACTTTCTCTTATGCATCCTTACAATCCCATTTATTTTCTTTCCCTCCCACTCATATATGTACACTCTCACACTTTCTCTTCCCTAGGCAGAAATGGTCCCTCTTTCTCATACACACTCAAACAGACCCCTGAGTTTGTATTCACACAGTTTTCCAATAGTGCTCAGAATTCCCTGTCTGAGGATGACTCCTCTTTCTCTGGCCCACATCTGCTCCGTGCCCAAAAGACTGACTTCCAGTGGGCATGAGCAGTTCAAGGCAGGCCTGCTTCTGCCTTTGGCCCCACCACCAGGCAAACATGGTTCTTTGGGAATGGGGCGAGAATGGAGACCCAGTCAGAAGAAGAATTAGGGAATGTGGTATTCTTTATTTGCCAGTCATGGAACATCAGGTTGGAGAGTGGGATATTTAATTAGCTGCCTTACCTCATCTCTTGCTCTGTTCCCAACTGTTTCCTTCTGTATGTACAGGAGTGAGTAAAAAAATGACACAACTTAAGCACAGAGAGCAGTGGTAACCCCTTTAGTGCAGTGCTCTATATTTAGCTTACTTATGCCTAAGGGTGCTATTATCTATATTTGTAATCTGCTTTGAGATCCTAGATGGAAGGTGTAAATATGTAAGACATGTCAATCATATATCTTCAAAGGTACTTTTATCACAGAGAAGTTTACATACATTGACTACAAAGATTAACACATTTAATTAGACATTTCTGTATAGTTTCTCAAAGTGAATTCAGTATGCTACAGTGATCAACAGTGTAAACAAGCGATTTGCAAGTAAGTGCATATGTCTGAACATCAAATTTAACCTGGTAGAGTGGATTTTGTTTCTTTTTTTGTGATCAAGTGAGGAATATTTACTTTGTTCTTCTCTTACATGTAACAGTTACAGCATTTCAAAGAAGTTGAAATAGCAAAGATCAGAATAGAAGAGAAAGCACAATGCCAGAAAGAAGTTTCTGATTTGCGTCGAGAGTTTGAAAGGACAAACCAAGCCAAGTCTGAGGCTCTGATTGCTCGTGAAAAGAATGCTATTGAAAGACTTCAAAAACAACAGGAGGTAATGTTTAAAAATAATAATTGGATCCAGTGCTAAGTGGTTCAGTTAGTTAATGAAATTGCCCTTTGATCTTTGAAGGAACTACAATTCAGATCCTACTGCGTCATAAGTGAAAAAGAGTTCAATAGTTCTTTCTTAGTCCCACATCAGGAAAGCACCACACAGATTGGCATGTTTAGTGATTTCAGGTTCTCAGTGACAATGGTGATGAGTATGGTATAAATATGTAAATTGATTGGAGTAGCAGCAGTGCTGCAGAAGAAGACTGAAATATAATACAGATATTGTTATATGTATGAATTCCTATTCTCCTTTCAGCGTATTCAGGATTTTTTTAATGGCAGTCCTAGATGGCTACTTTATAGGTTTTTCTTTTCTTTTTATTATGGATGTTATGATTTTTTGTTTTGCTTATTGTAGTTTTCTTTTTAGAAGTTGAAATAGAAAAAAATATAAATAAACTGGAACACAATATTCATGGTGTGGACATACCATTCATGTATATAATTACATTATAATCTATTCGGTATTTGTTATCCTTTTTAATATAACCCAAGGTGCTGTTTGTATTTTTGACCACTGTCATGCAGTGATCAGATGTGAGAGTCCATGACTTGTAGGTCTTTTTCCAGAGTGGTAATTTAATCCACTGTTAATTTAGAATCCAAAAATGTGTATGTGTGGTTCAGATTGTTCTTCCCAATGTTTATTACTTTTCTCTTGATTACAAAGAATTTTGCCTGCCACCGTGTTGCTGTCTTGGATCTGCTCTGTTCTTTACTAAACAAAATAATTGTGTGTCATCTACAGATTTTTGCCACCTTACTGTTTCCCTCTCTTTCCAGAACATTAATTTTTATATTGAGTAACACCGGTCCTACTATGGATTTTTGAAGCACTCTGCTTTTGACCTCCTGCTATGTTGAAAATTAACCATTTTATGCCTCTTTTCTGTATTTTGTTTTTCTGGTCCATGACAAAACTTTGCCTCTCACCCTGTGAAAACTTAATTTCCTTCATAGTTATGTCCTTAGAAACTTGCATGAAATCTGCCTACCTTATGCTGTTACTCCCACTTTCATGAACATGAAATTCATTCAGTCATTAAAAAAGGTCTGGATCAGCAGATTTGTCAAGTGAACCATTGTGGGTGCTATTGTCAGCTTTTGATCTTTGAGACCAAGTACATACTTCATTTACTTGCTGGTTGTCCCAGCAAAGAGACCAGCAGCTCCACTGAGCTAAGTGATTGTGTATTGCAGATAAATGATCACGTAGATCTTTTTAGTAGAAGAATGTAATTTTAGGAAAAGCGCCGGAGATCAAATTCCTCTAGTTATCCAAAACACAGGAACAAGAGACAGTGGCTGTTCCAACTCTTCCGACACTTGTATAATGCACCTGATTTGCAAATTTGATGGGACCACCTTTGGGATAAAAAGGTCATTCAGTCTTCATGCTCTTAGCCTTTCTGCAGAGGCACATAATTTGTTTCTTTTTAAAGCTAAGAACTACAGAGAGGTTTTTTTATTAGTAAGAATAGGGCTGTAGATGTGACATCTGGTATTGCCATTATGATCATAGGGAAGATTCTTTTAGAAGGTATTGTTTGGTTTGGATAGTCTAGAATGTAGAATTGGAGGTAGCTGCTAATGGAACCAGTATTTTGAAGAAAGTTCTTGCTTTAAAACTAAATACAGAGTGCATTTTCTCTGTTAACTACATTTATCAGGGTTTTTTAAAGTTTCTTATATATATATATTTTTTTGTATGCAGTGTTGGTCCCAGCATATGAGCGAGACAAGGTGGGTGAGGTAATATCTTTTATTGGACAAATGCTTTGTGTAAGCTTGAAAGCTTCTCTTTCTCAAGAACAGAAGTTGGTCTAATAAAAGATATTACCTCACCTACCTTGTCTCTTTAATTCTTTTTTGTTAATCTAGTTAAGATAGGGGCAAAACCACGTTTACCTATACTTGCTTTTTCTCTTGCAGTTCTGGTATATTCTAAAGTTTGTATTTGGTGTGGTAACTCTGTATGTGTTATAAATAAATCTTTTTGTTTTGTTTTGTGACTTTTGAATCTGTGCAGCATTCTAAAAGATAAGTTACTTGATAGCAAGTAATAACTTTCAAGTGTGTTAACCCTAAATAAAGTAGAATAAAGGAAGCAGCCCCTGGTGACTTAGCTCCTGGTTAGTGTAAATCAGTTGTTACTAGCAGCAAGCTATGCAAATATTTGTCAGGATCAAACCAGTTCCTGGAGTGAGGTCTGTAGCATTTATGTTTCTAATTTTTATACCATTGGTGTCTTGTTATGTCTTGCTGCTGTTGCCATTCTGTATGAATTCACTGGAAATTATTTTAATTTAAATCTCATTTTTTTGTGTAAAAATAAAATGAATAGAAGTAATATTTTCTGTTGTAGATTGAAGCAAAGGAGGTTTATACACAAAGACAAAGTCTGCTGAAAGATATTGAAATGATAAGAACCAGAGAGGCAGAACTGAAGCAAAGAATTGAAGGTTTTGAACTGTGAGTCACTCTAGATCAGGGATCTCAAACTCAAATCACCACTAGGGGCACATGAGGACTAGTACATTGGCCCGAGGGCCGCATCACTGACACCTTTTCATATAAAGATACAAAAGCCCCCCTCTACCCCTTCCCGGCCCCGCCCCCACTCCATCTCATCCATGAGGCCCTACCTCTTCCCAGCCCCATTCCAACCCCTTCCCCAAAGTCCTTACCCCAACTCTGCCCACTCACTGCCTCTATTCCAATCCCTTCCCCAAATCCCCGCTCTGTCCTGTCTCTTCTCCGCCTCCTCCCCTGAGCGCACGGCTCCCTGCTCTCCCTCCCCTCCCCCCAGAAAGTGCTAAGTGACGCCAAACAGAGAAGCACCTGAAGGTAGGCAGAGCAGCGGGGACGCGGCGCACTGGGGCGGTAGTGGGGGCAGCGGGTGAGGGGAGCTTGGCGGGGAGGCAGGGGGCTTGGCGGGCTGCAGCAAATAACTCCATGGGCCGCGTGTTTGAGACCCCTGCTCTAAGTCATGCATTTACCTGTGGTGTTGCTTTGTTTGTAGAAAGCATGTCTCAAGATGTTGCAATTTTTATGAAATTGAAATTTGTTTTATTTATCTCTAAATATGTTATGCTACATTTGAGTAATATCATGCAGCTGCATCTAGCAGTAGGGGCGTCCTGTGCTAAGAGGCCTATTTTGTTCTTAGCAAAAGAGCCTGGCACTACTTCAGAGAGACTGAGGAACTGGACTTCTGCTTTGAAGTCATTAACGTAAAAAGCAGTATGTAATCCCAGCACCAACAAGGCAACTGTAGTGACAAATTTACATTTGTAATGTTGGTTTTGCCATGATACGTACTGGGAGTGCACATTTAATAAAATGTGTTTTTCTTCTGTAATTAAAAAACCCCAAAACTAATTCTTGCCTGCTTTCCAATATTCTCTAATCCGTTAGCATTAGCGTGACCAGACAACAAGTGTGAAAAATCGGGATGGAGTGGGGGGTAATAGGAGCCTATATAAGAAAAAGACCCAAAAATTGGGACTGTCCCTATAAAATCGGGACATCTGGTCACCCTAGTTAGCATCTTGTGTTTTTGTAGGCAAGAAAAAAGAAAGCTATTTCCCCACTAACAAAAGTTACTTTCTTGTCTAGTTTCAGAGTAGCAGCCGTGTTAGTCTGTATCCGCAAAAAGAACAGGAGTACTTGTGGCACCTTAGAGACTCTAAGGTGCCACAAGTACTCCTGTTCTTTTCTTGTCTAGCCAGCAGAGGGTGCTGATAGAGTGGTGAGCTGAGCACCCTTTCTAAAACTGAGGAACTAAACAACATCCTTCCTGTAATACTTTCAGTTTTCAGCAGTTGCAAATCTGGTTGTTTATACAGTTGATCAGTCTGTGTCTTTAACAGTACAACTTAGTATGTGTTACTTTTCATTTTTCTTAGCGAATCATGATGATAGATTTGATCAGAATTTTAAATTGCCCCAAGCTAACCCATCACACTTTTGACTTTCATAAATGTTGTGTGATTAAAAAAAACTTCCTGAAAACTCTGGCATGTCATAAATATAATTGCTCAGTGTCAGTATATTTCTCATTATATCAGTGCTCAGAAACTTCAAGAAGAAAAAAATAAAGCTGTTGATGATGCACTGCGACGTCGGGAGATAGCTGTGAAGAACATTGAGGAGACTTACGACCAAAAGCTTAAGAATGAACTACTGAAGTAATTTGTTCTTTTGTCTCTAATAAAGAATACATATTTCATATGAAAATAGAATGTTAAAAATGCCATGGGAATTACCAATGAGTACTGTAAAAAAGCAAGAATTGAATATATAACACTTAGCATTTTTATTTTAATCAGTTTGTGACTTACTTATCTTATAAAGTGTGATGAATAGATTTCATAACCAAAAGAGTTAAAACAATTATGCCCTCTAACAGATAGTGGGTTTTTTCTATATATAATGACGTTCTTCTGTCCATAAGGCTATAGAATTTTAAAAATTCACACTTTCAGTCTCCCTATCTGTGAAGAAAAAGTGACATGAATCTGTAGGGCTGCTGAACAGGCAGATGCAAAGTATCATTGGTGATCTCTTTTGACCAGTGCTGAAATACTGAGCAATTTGAAGAACTGAAAGGAGGCAAGGTGTATGAAGCCAGTATTAAGGGAGTTTCATGGGTTACTTGCAGAAGGGGCAGGATGAGACACTTTTTAAAAAGGAAATGTAAAGGGGTTTTCTTACCCCAGAATTATTTTTTGAAATACCAGCTATTTGGTGCAGACTGGTAATGTCATAGGCCACCCCTCTCTGCTGGCTCCCTCCCTGAAAACAACCAAAGAAAAGTTCTTTGTAAACCAGCTTCTTTTCCCCTTCAAAAAAATCCTTCTCTGTCCAGCAAGACCCATCTTTCTCTCCCACAAATTCATCTTGCCTTGCTCCAAAATCATCCATTTTTCCTCAACCCAAAATCCATATCTCTTCACAAAATTTTCCCTTCCAAATTCAGCAGTACCCAAAAATAAATCCATTTGTACCCCAAAAATAACATCTCGACTTTCACTTCTAAAATATATTCATCTTGACCACCACCTCCTAAAACTTCATATCTCCCTTTAGTCATTGGGGGTGAAGAATTGGGAAGAGATTGAGTATTCTCCTGAATAAAGGCTGCAAGGTTTGATGGGCTGCACAGACTGGGTAGGATAAGCAGTGTTCTCTGCTCCTCCCTTCTTTGCTGGGCTATGGTCACATTCTGATTTATTTGGACAATGGAGGAAGAGGCCTATATTGTTTGTGTATTTTCCTTGCAGTTTTCATGTTTGGTGGCCAGCAGCCAGGACAGGCATCTAAGTGAGCAGTGAGACGTATATGGCATCAGCTGCAGCCCTTCCTGGGCTTTTGACAGTGGAAAGTGATGGCACCTAGCCTGAGATTCTTTTGTACTCTGTCTCTGTGATGTGAGCAGTGGTCATCTGAGGCCTGCTGATTGTTTTGTTGCAGAAAGTGCTCCCAGCACATGATTGTTCATGCCCACAGAATGAAATGAATCAGCCCTCGAGGCGGAGGGCGGAAACCCGCTCACCAGCTAAACACCTGGTTATCCATAAGTTCAGCCAGGACTTATTACCTAATAATGAACAGTGCAAGCACTGCCTCTTCTAACATGGATTTATTCAAATTGTAGAGGAAAGGTGTAAGACAATGGATTTCAGTGAGAATGAAGTGTCCCCTGAAAGAGAGATTAGGAACAGGGCAGTTAGATGTATGTCACTGAGCGACCAACCTTAGGCAAACGTAATCTCCCTGTGCCTTGTTTTACTTATCTAGTAAATTGCTATTTAATACTAAAGTAACTAAATGCTAAACAGAGCACCTACCTCACAAATAGGGGTTAGTGGCTTCATTTGTTAATGTTTGTAGAGCTCTTTCAGATCTTAACAGGGACTATTTTAGTGGAGAGTGTTATTTTATGTTACAGTAGTGTCCAAAATGTTTTAAGCACCGTACAAACACACAGGAAAACACCATCTCTGTCCTGAAGATATTTGTCTGTATCTACTTATTACAAAATTTATTTAGCTGTCTATCAATAGCTCTAGGATCCTGTCTGACAATTAAAATGTGGCATACAAAAATTAAAGTATGGAAGCTATTATTGGGTATTACAAAACGTAGGGGGAAAGAATAATTATAAATCCAAACAAAAGAAAAAATAGACAAATACAGTTAATGGAACTCAGATTAACCATTTTCTGTAACAGAAATTCATTGACTTTGTATATAGAAGTTGGGAGACTTATGAGTAATTCAGTTTGGATTATAAAATCACATTTTTGACAAGTGTATAGTTTCAAATATAATATATAATACGTTGTAAAATATTTGAAAAATAATGAAGACTTAATGTGAATATTGACTGTATTCAGTACCATTAATCTTTGCTGAGTTCTGGGGATAAACTGCTCTTTTTTGTGTGGAAATCATAAAGTGAGTGATCAGAAAAGTGAGGATTTGTTTATTTTTATACTCTAATACTGCAATCACAATTAGGGCCTCAGTGACCTGGGCACTGTACAAACATACAGGAAGATAGGATAACTGCCTCAAAATACTTACAATTTAATTAGGGCCTGCTCCTAAAAAGTGTTGAGCACTCATAGCTTCCATGATTTTAGTGGGACTTGAGGGCACTCAGCATTCGCAGGTCAGGACTTTGATGAAGTTCCACTGTAATTAGCATATAGACAGTTTGATAGGTAGTTACAGCCGAGTCTGGGGACATTCAGAATTCTTTTGCTTTGGTGTTTAGTAACTTTTTTTCACCCTAGATATCAACTCGAGTTGAAGGAAGAATATATAGCCAGAACCACTAGGGTTACTGAAGATGAGAAAAAGAATAAAGGTAACTAATCTCTTTCAGAGATACTCAACACCCATTGTTTATCTTTTAGCTTGTAATAAGAGGCAACAAAGCAGTATTTTTAAACAAATATAGTGTATTTAATTGAAGTTGGAGAAAGAGAGGATCATCTTTAGACTTCTAAGCTAGAGTGCTTTGGAAAAAATAGTATATAATCATATAATTAAAGACTGTATCATGCATATGCACAAACGTGTCAAATTAAGGTTGCTCTGGCAACCTTAATTCTGGCTTTTCTTCACTTTTGAGTGTTTGACTTTGCAAGCTTAATGTTCTTTTTATGTAGTTTTTGGTGTGAGATACACATTAACCTGCAGAAACTGTTTATGATCCTTACAGAGAAGGCTATACTGTTGCGTGAAGAGACCATTGCTGTTAATTCAAAGAAGGAAGAACTCAAACAAGTTGTATCACATGCAAAAGAACTTGAGGTAATTGTGAGCCTGAATTTAGAGACTACACTGTTTGATTAGTACATTTGAACTGTTTTGTGATACCTTTTCAGGAATAATATGTGGTACAAAGTGTGTTTCTTGAGAAATACCTTTAAGAAGTTTGTGACGTGTTTTTTAGCTGGAGCTGGATTCAGTAAAGGCGCAGGTGTTATTGGTAAACAAACAGAATCAGTTGTTGATAGAAAAATTGAAAGAGATTGCGGACTATCCCTTGTTAAAGGAAGAGAAACTGGAGCTTCAGGTGCAAAATAAACTACTTAGACAACAACTGGAGGAGACTCGCAATGAAAACCTGCATTTCCGAGACAGTTAGTGTTAACATATTTTATAACTTTCCTTTCCTCATTTTACAGAAGGTTTAGTAATAGTTTTCCATTAAAATAAACACTTTATTTCATGATTGTTAAAAGGCTACTAAATTTAAGAATATATGAAATTAGCACACTGCTTTCAAAAACTGTTATAATACTTGGTTTTGCTCCTGCTTGTCCCTGTTTGTCTTTTCATTTATCTTTGTTTTTTCCAAAGTTCCTAGCATCACAAGTGTTGGGTGATGTTTTTTTATTAGTGTTCCTGGACACTTCATGGAACAGTGATAAAAGCAGGTCAATTCTACTTTCCTTGTCTGTTTCCCCTCAGAGGACCACAAGTCCTTAACTATAGTAGATTTTTATGTTTCACTTCCCAAAAGCTGGTCTTGTGGATACAGCACTGGACTAGGATTTAGTAAATCTGGGTTTAATTCCCAGATCTCCCACTGACTTCCTGCGTGATCTCTGTCAAGTCATGTAATATCTTTGTCTCCTTTCCCCATCTCTAAAATGGGGACAATGATCATTCCTCTGTCTTGTCAAAGTTACATTGTAAGTACTTTTATGGAAGTCTCTCACTGTTTGCACAATGGAACTCTGCATTCAGGTGCTACTAAAATACAAAAATACTAATTGTTGATAATACCCTCTCTTTCCTTTCATCTTCCATTTTTTTCAACCACAGCATTATTTAGTGTGGTTAGTAGAGGACAAAGGCTTCTGCAAATGACTGTTTTACAGACCTGATCTCTGTAGAATAATAATCTATTGTCTTGTAATGCATCTGCATTTGTAAAACATGTTGTGTTTGAAGAGCACAGATGGGCAATACATTCAGGTTTAGATAAGACAGGAACAAGTTGATTCAGACAAATAACTTGCAGAGTAGAAAACTTTCTGCCTACCTCATAATTGCCCAGAGGGAGGGAGGGAGGGATTAGAACAGATACCCCAAAAAGTGTATACAAATGAAGTTTTACTATTTAAGACCTATTGTAGTCAAGAAAAAAATTTCAGTTTTAAGTTTCCAGGGGGTGGTTATAAATAGTGAATGTGCATTTTTAAGTATCTTATAAAATATCTCCTGATATTGTTCTTTTATGTGAAAGAGTTAACTCAGCCATCAGCTGAACATGTAGCCTGCCAGGCAGAATTGAGGCGAGTTGAACATGCTAAAAAGCTGGAACAGGATGAGTTTGAAACCCATAAACAACTTCTGGAAAAGCAACTGCAAAGTGAGGTAAATTCTTCTCTTTTCATCTAAATAGACTTTTTCCTGTCATTTTGTAAACACTTACACCTGTCCATTGCAGACCCTTTTAAAAGTAGGTGTTGGAGTGCTTTAATTCCATTTTTTCTTTAAATAAAAAAAAAAAAAAGCAACCAAACAAACCTGTGTTAAACCTAAAATTTTTCAGTACTTATTTACTATAGATCAATACAGCTGATGAAACTGGAAAAAAAAAAATACAAATTTGGCTAGACCTGGAAAGCACTTGATCATTTTCATCAAAAGAAAATTATCTGTGCCGGTAGAAATAGAAAAATGTTGCAGCCAACAAAGTGGAAATCTTTACTAAACCTTGTCCTAAGGGATAAGGAGGAACTGATCGCAGAATGAAAAATTAATGGTGGCTTAGGTACAGATGATCATGATTTGATCATATTTATAATGTGCAAGCAGAATAAAGTCCAGACCAGTAATATGTACATGTGGTGCTTATAATAGGACCAATTTCACAAAGCTGAAAACAGTTATGAGCCAAATCAGCCATGAGGAAGATTTTCATCAGAAAAATGTGAATGATAGTTGGGAATCATTTAAGAACACCTTAATAGATGCCCCAAAACCCACAATGGAGGAAGAAGGCCAGATTAGTTAAAAATCTGTACTGGTTTAGAGGTGAATTGAAGGCAGCTGTAAAAAGTGTGTGTGTGTGTGTGTGTGTGTGTGTGTGTAAAACAAATGGAAGAAAAGAGAAGTTGATAGTAATGAATATAATTCAGAAGTTAGGAATTGTAGAAAATTATTAAGGAAAACCAAGGGACATAAGGAGAAATCTATGGCCTGCAGAGTTAAGGACAATAAAAAGGAGTTTTTTAAATATATTAAGAACAAAAATAATCCTGACAGTGGTATTGGTTTTGTTACTAGATGGAAATGGTACAGTTATCAATAATAATCTAAAAAAGGCATAGTGGTCAATAAATATTTCTGTTCTGTTTGGGGTTAAAACTGGGATATAATCTTATATGGTGATGCTAACACTTGTCCATGCCACTAGTATCTGGGGAAGGTGTTAAACAGAAGCTACAAAAGTCAGAAATGTTTACATCAGTAGTTCCAGATAATTTGCATCCCACAGTTTTAAAAGAGCTGGCTGCGTACCTTGCTGGACCATTAATGTTGATTTTCAATATTTCTTAGAGCACTGGGGAAGTCCCAGAAGACTGGAAGAATGCTAATGTAATGCCAATATTTAAAAAGGGTAAACAGGATGATCCGGATATTTATAGGCCTGTCAGTCTAACATTGATCCCAGTTGGTCCAGATAATGCAGTGTCTGATATCAGACTCAATTAATAAAGAATTAAAGTAGCGTAATGTAGTTAATGCAAATCAATGTGGGCTTATGGAAAATAAATCCTGTTAAACTAACTTGATATCTTTTTTTTTTGATGAGGTTACAGGTTTGATAGATAAAGGTAATAGTGTTGACCTTAAACTTCTGTAAGGTGTTTGACTTTCTATCACATGATGTTTTGATTAAAAAACTAGAACTAAATATTTACTCCATTTAACATGGAACTCATTAAATGGATTAAAAACTAGCTAACTAATAGGCCTCAAAATGTGATTGTAAATGGGTAATCGTTATCAAGGGTGTGTGTTTCCACTCGGGTCCCAAGAAGATCGGTTCTTGGGTCCTGTGCTATTTAACATTTTTACAATGACCTGGAAGTAAACAAAATCATCACTGGTAAAGTTTGCAGTGTTGTTTAAGTGTTGAAGGCTGGAACGTCGTTGCTGTGGTAACACTGTTCAGGCTGCTAAGCTGTTGCAGTTGCTCAGTGCTTCTGTTCTTGGCGCTCCAGTGTTATCAGCACTAGCAGATAGTGCAGCCTGCTAATTCAGCAGACCTCTTTGTTACTCATAAATAGGGCCCTACCAAATTCACGGTCCATTTTGGTCAATTTCACTATCATAGGATCTTAATAGTAAATTTCATGATTTCAACTATTTAAATCTGAAATTTCACGGTATTATAATTTTAGGGGTCCTGACCCATAAAGGAGTTGGGGTGGGGGTCACAAGGTTATTGTAGGCGGGGGTTGCAGTACTTCTACCCTTATTTCTGCACTGCTGATGGCGGCGGCGCTGCCTTCAGAGCTGGGCAGCTGGAGAGCGGCCACCAGCAGCAGCACAGAAGTGAGGATGGCATGGTATGGTATTGCCACCCTTACTTCTGTGCTGCTGCCTTTAAAGCTGGGCCCTCAGTCAGCAGCCGCCACTCTTCTGCACTGTTGCCTTCAGAGCTGGGCGCCTGAAGTAAGGTGGCATGGTATGGTATTGCCACCCTTACTTCTACGCTGCGGCTGGCGGGGCACTGCCTTCAGAGCTGGGTGCCCGGCTAACAGATCTGAAGGCAGTGCAGAAGTAAGGGTGGCAATACTGTGACCCCCCCTAAAATAACCTTGTTACCCCCCTGCAACTCCCTTTTGGGTCAGGACCCCCAATTTGAGAAATGCTGGTCTCCCCTGTGAAATCTATATAGTATAGGGTAAAAGCACAGAAAAGACCAGATTTCACAGGGGGGAGATCAAATTTCATGATCTGTGACGCGTTTTTCATGGCCGTGAATTTGGTAGAGCCTTACTCATAAAGACCACAGGCATAGTTTGGTGGCAAAGACACTCGGCCAGGTTTATTGCCTTCCAGGCTCAATACTAGTGCCCTGGCTCTGTGATACAGGTACACTAACACATGAGTGTCAAGTTGCAAGGGGAAGTTCAGTCAGCAGCAGGAATTTTTGCTGTCCCCTCGGCCACACAAAATGTTATGGCGAGTTACACCAACATTTATAGACTAAGAAAAACAACGTACGAACCACCTTACGTTGTTCATGCCATCTATTTGTTACCTCCCTTGTACCCTGCTCCAGATGTCTTGGGCAACACATCCCAAAAGACACAGTGTAATTCTGGGAGGCATAATCAGGGGAATTGAGTAGGAGTAGAGAGGGTATTTGGCACTGGTGCGACCACCGCTGGAATACTGTGTCCAGTTCTGGTGCCCACACTTCAAGAAGGGTGTTGATAAATTGGAGAGGGTTCAGAGAAGAGCTTTGAGAATGATTAAAGGATTAGAAAACATGCCTTATAGTAATAGACTCAAAGAGCACAATCTATTTAGCTTAACAAAGAGATAGTTAAGGAGTGACTTGATTATAGTCTATAACAGTGGTTCCCAAACTGGGGTTCGTGAACCCCTGGGGGTTCGCAAAATGTTACAGGGGGTTCTCGGGAAAAAAGTCCCTAATGGCGGACAGAGCTGTCCCTAGGGACCCTGGGCAGCACAGCCCGGAGCCGCTGGACTTCCAAGAGCTAAGCAGATCAAAGCAAGCAGATCTATCACACTGAGGAGATTGAAACTTCAAGACTCCTTATAAGAAATGGAAAGGGAGGTGGATATTTTTTGCTGTTTTTAAAATGAAATAGGCAGCTAGTATTGTTTTTAAAATTATTATGAAGAACAAGTTTAAGCTTTGTTGTAACGTGCGTTGTTTGCCTGGACTGCTCAAGACCTGAATGCTTGTGTAGGAGGAACTCTTTGAGTTGGCTTCTTAAATACCTTCATGTTGTTTCACATCTGACACTCCTTGATGAAACATAGGAGCCTTGTCTTATAACAGGCTGATTCACATTGATACAAGCTACAAAAGTGATAACTTGGAAGAGTGTTGCCGTTTTCATAATGTAATAAAAATACTGTAATGATTAATAATAATAAATACTGTGCAATAAGCATGTCATAACAACAAATTTTATATTTCCAAGATCACTGCTTTTATAATTTATACTCAGGTAAAGGAGAAAATCCCTGGAAATATTCATTTTTAGGGGGAGGTTCGCGAGACCTGACATTTTAGTGAAAGGGGTTCCCAGGTTGTTGAAGTTTGGGAACCACTGGTCTATAAGTATCTACCTAGGGAATAAATATTTGATAATGGTCTCTTCAGTCTATTAGAGAAAGGTATAAGATGATCCAGTGGCTAGAAGTTGAAGCTAGACAACTTCAGACTGGAAATAAGACATGCATTTTTGACAGTGAAGGGTGATTAATCTTTGGAACAATTTACCCAGGGTTGTGGTGGATTCTCCATCATTGAAAAAATTTAAATCAAGTTTGGATGTTATTTTAAAAGATGCTCTAGGAATTTTTTGGAAGAGGTTCTATGGCCTCTGATATACAGGAGACTGGACTTGATGATCACAGTGGTCTCTTCTGGCATTGGAATCTATGAAAAGCATTGAGAGAAAGACACCTTCGTGGGTTGAGATACCTTTTCTCATCTTCAGTACTTGTTCACATTTGTATGACAATTTTTTTTCCCAAAATCTATTTCAGGTTGAACGTTGTGCACAATTAAAGATCCAGCTGTTAGACTATGAAACTACTATCAGAAAGCTAAACGTACAGGTTGAAGATTTGAAAATGCAGCTGAAGCAAACACAGACAGGTTTGTAGTATTTATTAGATGTTTTAAAACTGAGTTTATAAAGGATTTTTAATTTATGCAAACATTTCCAATGGCTTGAAAAGTAGTTCAAATTGTGAGGGCTCAATCTGTAACTGATAATTGCATTCCAAAACTTAAAAAAAAAAAAAAGTTAAGGTTGCAGTGTCACAAATGTAACTACCTAAGACACCATTTACAAAACTCAAGCCTTTAAAAGCAAGGAAATGAATATTTATGGATATAATAAATCTTGCACTGTCCAGATAAACATTCTTAATAAATATAAGGAAATGACATAACAAAATATAAGGAAATTCATAACAAAACCACCTAATGTCATGAATTGTATTTTAATGTATCATTTTTATCTCTTGTCTTTAGAATATGAATGATTTTCTTTTAAATAATACTTTTATTTTACCAATAAAATCTGGAATTCCCTTTGTGGTGGTGATAATTGTATCTAGTTTAAAATGAAAAGTAGGGCTGTCGATTAATCACAGTTAACTCACGCGATTAACTCAAAAAAATTTAATTGTGATTAAAAAATTTTAATCGCGATTGAAATTTGTTAAATATTTTTTGATGTTTTTCTACATTTTCAAATAAATTGATTTCTTCTTCGAGTGCTGTCCCTGTGGGTGCTCCACTTTAGGTGTTTGTGTGCCCCTGCACTTGTAGTCAGAGACTTTTAGTAGCAGTGCCTGGTTGGGTCGCACATGCGTGGTCCCTGCCTCGCGCTGTTGCAGGCAGTTAACCATCGCTGTGCGACCAACCCCCACTCAGTTCCTTCTCTACCGCCCTTGGCTACCAGTGGGAGCAATCAGCAGCACCTTGTTACTTTGTAGTTAATTAGCTACAGTCAGTTACTTAGTTTCCTTATTAGCAGCTACTTAGCTTGTTTCACGTTCCTTTTCTCCTTGATTGAAAAAAAAAAACAAAACCCTCACGGCCAGGAACTTCAGAAAAACAGCTCCCCTCCCCCCCCAAACGGGAATGCCCGGTTTCCCAGGCTCTCAGTGCCTTGCCTCCAGGCACGCTCGGTGCGTCGGGGCATGAGGCTTGGGGACCCACCCGCCCCACTTCGCCAGCCGCAGCTTCAGACAGGAATGGTTTCTCCAACTCCACATTGGAGTGCCCTGCCAGGCGTCACTCGAAGCACTGGGTCCCCACCGCAGGAATAAAAACAACCCCACAGCAGTCCTGCAGATAATAATAGCATCGGCTGTGCTGCCAGCGTCGGGAGCTCCGGTGGCTGAGAGCTCCGGCACTGCTGCAGACAGAGACTTCGGAGCCCCGTGCCTCCACGCCACAATCCACAGCTGCTCCGCAGGCAGGCATCCAGTGCCGGTGCCGGCACCGGCTGTGCTGTTAGTGCCAGGAGCCGAGGTGGTAGAAAGTCCCGGCACCGCTAGAGCCAGAGACTCTACAAGAACCCGCTCCAACACAGGCACTATGGGGAAATCAAAACCTTGTGCCTCTGCACCGCGATGTTCGTTCATTCTGCGGGCAGGCATCCAGTACCGGCACCAACTGTGCTGTCAGCACTGGGAGCCGAAGTAGCGGAACATCCCGGCACTGCTAGAGCCAGAGACTCTACAAGAGCCAGCTCCGACACCGGCACTGAGCTACAAAAGGCGGCTTCTTCAAAAGCGCACCCAACACGCACAGTGGCGCAGCCAACAGCGCCACCTTCCCCTCCGCAGCCCTGGCACTGACAAGGGGGCAGCCCCGGGGGCCAATCAAGCCAGCACAGCAGCAGTTCCTCAGACAGAGGGTTCTGGTATTCGGCTCTGCCCCCGATCCCCCTATTCACGGTACCGATATGAGAATGATACTCTCAGCACCAAGTCTCCCTGCGTCCCCAACATCACTCACTGTCTCGCTCCTTATTTGAAGGAGGAAGATGAGGAAGAACAGGGAGCTATTCCCCCATTGGCTCTTATCCACCAGGAGTCAGTCAACCCAGGAGTCTCTCCTGGGGCATATTATGCTTTCCCCAGGTACTTACAGTGGTATGGGGATCCCCTATGCCAGTCCCATCCCAGTAGGCATACTGGACTCCATGGGTCGTAGGCCCCACACAGGGGGAGACTGCTCGCCACGGCCAGACACAGCACACAGTAATTCCTCACAGATTCTGTACCAGCACCCTCAGTGGTACCAAGGGAAGAGGAGGAAGAACCTCCACCCCTGCAGGGAACATCACCTACCCACTTGCCATCATTGTCCACAGAGGCTTCCATGGCTTATTTGAGAGGGTGGTCCTCTCTGGACATCTCCCTTGAGGAGGTCCCTATGATACAGCATGGGTTAGTGGATTTTTTTGCATACATCCGCTTCGTTTAAAATTTTTTCAATTCACCTCATACAAGTACTGTAGTGCAATCTCTTTATCATGAAAGTGCAATTATAAATGTAGGGTTTTTTTGTTACATAACTGCACTCAAAAACAAAACAATGTAAAACTTTAGAGCCTACAATTCCACTCAGTCCTCCTTCTTGTTCAGCCAATCGTTAAGAGAAACACGTTTGTTTACATTTATGGGAGATAATGCTGCCCACTTCTTAATTACAATGTCACCTGAAAGTGAGAACAGGCATTCACATGGCACTGTTGTAGCTGGAATCGCAAGATATTTGTGTCAGATGAACTAAAGATTCATATGCCTCACATGCTTTGGCCATCATTCCAGAGGACATGCTTCCATGCTGAAGAGGCTTGTTAAAAAATAATAATACGTTAATTAAATTTGTGACTGAACTCCTTGGGGGAGAATTGTGTGTGTCCTGCTCTGTTTTACCTGCATTCTGCCATACATTTCATGTTATAGCAGTCTCGGATGATGATCCAGCACATGTTGTTCATTTTAAGGATACTTTCACTATAAATTTGAGAAAACACAAAGAAGATACCAGTGTGAAGTTTCTAAAGAATAGCTACAGCATTTGACCCAAGATTTAAGAATCTGAAATGCCTTCCAAAATCTGAGAGGAATGAGGTGTTGAGCATGCTTTCAGAAGTCTTAAAAGAGCAACACTCTGATGAAACCACAGAACCCAAATCACCAAATAAGAAAATCAACCTTCTGCTGGTGGCATCTGACTCAGATGATGAAAATGAACATGCGTCGGTTCACACTGCTTTGGATTGTTATCGAGCAGAACCTGTCATCAGCATGGATGCATGTCCTCTGGAATGGTGGTTGAAGCATGAAGGGACATATGAATCTTTAGTGTGTTTGGCATGTAAATATCTGGACTTCTAGGCTCTAAAGTTTGACATTGTTTTATTGAATGCAGGTTTTTTCGTACATAATTCTACATTTGTAAGTTCAACTTTCGTGATAAAGAGATTGCACTACAGTACTTGTATTAGGTGAATTGAAAAATGCAATTTTTTTTTACAGTGCAAATATTTGTAATCAAATAAATATAAAGTGAGCACTGTACACTTTGTATTCTATGTTGTAATTGAAATCAGTATATTTGATAATGTAGAAAACAGCCAAAAATATTTAAATAAATGGTATTGTATAATTGTTTAACAGCGTGATTAATCACGATTAATTTTTTAAACGCATGATTAATCACAATTTTTTTAATTGCATGATAGCCCTAATAAAAAGCATATAATATTTTTTGATGAAATAATTTTTATACTGTATATCAGCTGTTTGAAGCTGATCAGTGTGTCATGGTGTTCATTTTGTAACTTTCGTTTTTTACTATTATTTCATGATTATCTCTTTACTTTGCTAGTGGAAGGCAAAGTAATGACTTATTTTGGGTCAGAGATAAGGTTGTTGTGATTAAACAAACATTTCTTTGTATTTGATAAGAATACTTTTATTATGCAATATATGTTGACCTCTGACAAAGTTACTTCCCTACAGATGGTACTTGCAGATATTTCTGGTGTGTTTTGTTAACCTAGAAGTACCAACAGAGAGACAGTTAACACAGGCAATATAACTGATTTTGGGTAACAGTTTTCTTTTAGTCTTTAGTGGAAGGGAATCACCTTAAACTTCACCAAGATATTGCTTTCACTGTATTCTGTTGTTTTGATTTTGTTGTTTTAATACCCAATATATTAGTCTATCTAAGAACTGTGAGGGCCTGCCCCTGTACCCATTGAAATCAGTGGCACATGATTGGGCTCTAACAGTTTGCAAGTTTAATTAAATTAATTTTGTTTTACAGCTGTTTTTAATAATGTGTGTTTTGGATTTTATATATATTTTATATATATAAAATGTATATCCGTTAACAATTCATATTTTTTCTAAATTAAAAATAGCAGAAATATTTAATTGTTTAGGCTGACAGCCTGCATGCCATGTTTCACTTCGATATAATTTAAAACAGACAAATTATAAACCATTGAAAAATGGGGTTGAGTGGCTTACTAGAGCTGCTGTCATCAAGTGTCATTCCATTCTATGGAATTGTCTGATAACTGTGTATTATTTAGGTGCAGTGATAACTGAAGAAGTAGCAGAAACTATTAAACTTTTTTCGTATTTTATTTTTTGTCTCAATTGGATCTAAATATTAATTTCTGTAAACATAAATCATTGATAACTTGCAACTGTTACACCGGAACATCAAATGTAGTTGAATACAACTTTTTATTTTTAATGGTTATGATTTACATTTCAAATGAAAAAACCCTATATTTAAAATCAACTGTCATCAATTTCTTATCTGAATCGTGACTAAATCAGAATTCAAATAATTTCTTCTGATTTTTCCTGAAATTAATGGGTGCTTTTTCCTTTCTGTCTCTGTGTGTGAAATGTTTACTTACGTAGTTCTAGAGAATGAAGTGTATCGGAATCCCAAGCCTTCTCTTGTTGATCGTTCTGTCATTGACTTCACTGGTGATAGGATTGTACCTCATGACATTTATGTAGATGGTGCTTTCTTGAAGAACCGGGCTGTTACTGATATTGTTGTGGCAGATGATGTTCCAAGCGTTGGTTATCGCCAGCATTCACGGACCTGCAACTCTTCTCCAGATTCTGACCTTGAATTTGTCGCCAAAACCAAAGCTAGGATAAAAGAACTAGAAAAAGAGGCAGAGTATTTGGAAGAGGCCTACAGAAATTACCAGCATAGAGTCATTCAAGGTGCAGTTGCAAGCAGGACACCAACAAAGACTAAGTCCCCTCTACGTTTGCGAAATGCTGTTAGATTCCCTTTGGCTTCTCAACACAGAGTTATGTTTGTAGAAGACAACCTTGGCTCTCAGCATTTCTCTCTTAGCAGTCCGAGAGGCCCAAGATATGTTACACCTGGGCATGATGATGTCTTGAAAAATCATCTAACTACTCCCCGAAGAAGAGTCTCTTCCTCCAGACGTCTTTCTTCTACTCCTCTTTCCAAAGTGGAGAGAAACATCAATAGCCATATACTTCCAGAAGGTAAACCGTTACTGCTCCTTTGTGGTTGTGTTTTTCTGGTAAGATTCCAGTTAGGAAACTTAAAATTGAGAATCTTTTGTACATTTATCATCTGTTTAAGGGCAAGAGAAAGCTATAGGCAAAATATGATAAGTGAATTAGAAACTAAGCCTTTAAAAACAAGTGTTTTAGAAGTGTGTGGGGAGCGGGGGTGTCAAACCTACTGCCCTTAATTTAAGCAGTTTTAAATGGGTAATTGGAATACACCCATATGATCCACTGTAGCTGTAGTCCTGTTGTAATCCGTGTTTTATTCAAAAGCAGATCCTAAGTGTAACTCTGCTTGGAAGATTAACTGTGATTTCACAGCTTCTGTAAACTTCCCTGCATAGCCTCATCTATTTACATAGTCAGTGGAGTTGCATGGGCAGTAATGAAGGGCAGAATTAGACTCAGCTTATTTGGGCTGCTAAAATGGCCCATTGTCTATTTTGAAAATCTGAATGACTATAGTTCCCCTCTTTGTTGGTTTTTGTAAACAATGTCTAATGTTTGCTCCTGTTACTGTGATATTGCTTCCACACATTGGTGAGCAGTTGTGAATTACAGGAAGATGGCTTTTAGATTCTTGGCATGATTGGAACATTGTGGTTTTCTGTTAATACTGCAATACCCTATCATTGTAATTTCAGAAATGTTTAAAAAAATATATATAATATTTCTTCTTTAAGTAGATGCAGCTGTGTTTTCTACTTAGGTGTGTGCCTGCCCAGGTCACCAGTGCTGGAGAATTTTGCTTAGCAGTACCCACAGATGCCAGCACTTGCGCCTCGTGCCTGTAGCCCCTCCCCTGGCTATATAAGGTGATGCCACCCTGACCTCTCTCAGCTTCTTCTTATAGCCCATGGCTGGAGTCAGAGCTCTGTGTGGTTTCTAATCTCGCAACCTCTCTATTTCTTAGTGACTTTTCTAGTTATATATAGTTAATTACTACCCTTAGTATAGTGTTAATTACCTTTTGTTTAAGTATTGCCCTGGTGATGCCTTCACCAAGGTTTAAACATTGTCCATTGTGTAGGGGAGCGATCCCCAACAATGACGCTTGCTGTGCTTAGGCACATCATTCACAAAATGGAATCAGGTAGCCTTCATCCTCAGGGATCTTCATATAAAGCAGCACCTGCTTGAACAGGCCATGCAGCCCTCATAATCACTGAGAACTATGTTGGCTCAGAGGTTTTCCTCATGTTCTCAGAGTGCTGCCGCTTCATGCTCTGTAGCTCATGCTTCTCCGAAGAGATGGAGGAATTGAGTGTGCTGAAGAAAAGGTCACATAAGACTGATTGGGATTGCTCCAGGTCACATGAGGACTCATCTATCTCCTCCCAAAGGAGCATGGTATGAATGCTGGAGCGTGGGAGGGAGCAGGTCCCATCAACTGGCCCCTGGTATCACTCAGGAAGGTCAGTAATCCTGTACGGTCGACTCTGGTTCCGACCCCCGGGCGTCTGTTGAGTCCAGTACCAACGAAGATGATGCTGGCACTGGCTGTTTCCAGATCAGGCGGCAGTGAACCTCATCTGCCTTTCTGTCCCAACATTTCCTTTGGTCCAGGACTACGCCAGGGCTGCATCGTTTATAGTCCTATTGGCAGGGTGGGCCGCTGAACCTGTGGGTCTGTTGGCATCGCACCTCAACGTTTCCCTTCCATGGTCAGTGGAAGCAGGGCCAGTAATGGGCTCAGTACTAGGAACTTCCTGGCATCAGGAACTTCTTTGGCACTCCTGTTGTCGATGCCACCAATGTTACTGGGATGGCACTCACTGCTCTCCACTTTGGCACCATCAGTCAACTTGGTATTGCTGCCAACTTTGGGATCAATACTGCTTCTGACACCAGAAACGATGGAGGCGTATTTGGTGCGTGCGGTACTGTTTCCACTGTCGGCACCAGTTCCCTCTTCGTTCTCAGCTACAGTTGAGTCAGACTGGTTGCTCGCTCCCTTGTGCTGGCTCCACCTTTATCCCGTGAAACCTGGGACTCCTTGACATCCAAGTCGGGGTCTTCTTCCACACACACACCCCACACACACACACTCACTCACTCTCTCTCTCTCCCTCCCTCCCCCCATCGCCTGACCTGCATCGGTGGCCATTCATGGAGCATTATGGGTACCAGGATTAGCACTGGTTTCGTGGTTGGGACGGGGCCTCCTGGCCTGGCACCTACTGGCCACCAAAGTCTAACTCATACTAGTGGCCTCAATGGAATCTATGGGATGCTTCTCGGTCATGGAAGTCCCACTTCTCATCTTTCTGTAAAGCAAAATCACTGGGCAGGTGTGTGGCTGTAACCATCAATCTGCCACAGGCCCAGGCACTGGTGAACTTTCCCTTCATGGAGCCGCCAGAGTCATCCCATCAGGACTGTCAATCCTGGAACAAGGTCTGGCTCTGGCACAGTTAACCGCTTCACCGGAGAACACACATAGGTTGTTGGATATCCTACAGCCTCCCTGTTAATGATGCACTCCTATAGCCTGCTAAGGTTCTCTGGAGCATGCCGGCTTTCGTACAGCCTACTGCGAATTGCATGGAGAACCGTTGCTTTGTTTCATTATAAGCATTTGAGGGTTTTTACTCCCATCTGACCCCAAATTCTGTCGTAACCATGGTGAACTATAGAGGCTAGCAGGGCATATTCAAATCCACTCCCAAGGTTAAGGGCTCTGTAATAGTCCGGTGCGGGAGCCGGGCCCTCTCAGGGGCCGTCGGGAGCCAGGCCGCTTCACTACGCGGCCCCAAATCGGTCCTCGGGGTCCGAAAGTCTCGGGGTTCCGCCCCTCAGGCAGGGGCTAAACAAAAGCACAAGGTTAGATAGGCCCAAACGCTAGCTCAGGGCGGGGCCACACACAAGGGTCCGAGGGGCTCAGAACCTCCCTACAGGCTGAGCCAATACCACGAATAGCTAAGCCCCGGCCCTCAGTCAGGGCGGGGCACCTAACACTTAGGGTTAGGGATTTTGGGCGCCAGTCCTTGCCTCAGGGGTTGGGCAAGAACACAATCTCTGAGCTCAGTCCTTCCCTCAGGAGCTGAGCAGTAGTAAGGCAATCAGGGGGAGCCCAGGCCCTTGGTCCGGGCGGGCAATAAACCAGGGGTCAAGGGGCTCAGGTCCTTGCAGTAGGAGCTGAGCCCAAACAAAGGCAGGGAGCCCAAGCCCTCAATTAGGGCGGGGCAGCGAACAATAGTTCAAGGGGCTCAGGCCCTTGTGGCAGGGACTGAGCAGAAACCAAGTCAGGTAGCCCAGGCCCTTAGTCAGGGCGGGGCCGTCAACAAAG